AAGACAAAAATATTTCCTTGTCAGATATGCAGCAGTTTGAGAACTTTGGCTTCCTGTTTTTGGTACCTCTAGAACCAACAGTCACTAAGCACCATGAAATAGGCTTTTAAAATATAATTCTGTACCTGAATTTTTCCTCCTCTTTTAACATCATAATGGCTTTTAGAAGGAAAAAAAAGGAAAGTACAAGATGACATTTACATCTAATATTGCATTGAAAGAAAATTAAGGGAATGTCATTTCCCTGTGTAATATCCCCACCCTCCGAACTACACACAGTCTGTTAACCCTGATATCCGTGACTTCCAGTCACTCCTTGGCATTTTGTAGTCCGGAAATAATTCAAGTTGGATTTACAAATGGAATGATAGAAGATCCAGTCATTGACCCCAATGTTTTTGGTTCTCTTTTCTTTTAAATGTATATATATAAAAAAAAGTTGCAATGTCTGTATGCAATTATCCCTCTTTTCCACTCTTTGGAAGACTTCACCTTGATTATCTGTAGTGCTTAAACTGTGTTCTCCCCATCTTGCGGAAGACAGTCCTTGTGCTGTAAATACTGAATCTTTACGGCAGTTGGGGAAAGATCCACTGCTTCCAATTAAAAGTGCCTCTTCATGTGTAAGGCGAGGTGGTCCGACCTGGAAAACGCTCTGTCACACCGCTGGCACTGGAAAGGGCGGTGGCCTGTGTGTTTTCTGTAGTGACGAGTAAGTTCATCGGATCGGGCAAACTTCCATCCGCAGCCTTCCCAGTCACAGTGATAAGGCTTTTCACCTTTAAAGAAATAGAAAATAAACCATGTCAGTTAGGTTTTTTTCATGGCTACCACTTCTAACACCTTTCTTTCAAGAAGCACTAACACACGTTGTCCTGCGTAAGAAAAAGGGTGATGTCAAAGAAAATGCAATGAACTTCTTGCAAGCAAACTACAAAGACCAACAGGGTAAGACTGTCTTCTCAAGATGTACAGGTACTTTAAAATGTTGGCATCACCAAAATCTTCACTAAAATGCTCATTTCTATGGTTTTTCTTGCACACGAGGCTTCAGAGCACACAAGTTCAGATAATAATAGAGTGTATTTTTGCCAGCTAATGTTATACAATCAAATAGCAACCAGAAATAGCTCAGCAGACGTAATGTATTTAGGTAATTGTAGGTCTCAAGAATTAAAAAACAGCTGGAAACTGTTTTCATTAGCTCAGCCTGATTAAGAACTCAATCTTACTGTCTTCACTGTAACAAAACCACTGTTGATGGCAAGATGAGTTTCCTTGACAATTACAAACTCCCGGTCCTACACACACTGCAGATGGTGCTGACCGGCTCAGAGCAGATGGGAAATACTGTTCACTTGACCGATTTTGGTTTTCCTCCATTGCCATTACCTGAAGGTGTAGCCTAACTACTGCACTACCAGTAGTTTCTCCCTTTCCCATCTCCTCTTCAGGAGAAAGTTTTGAATCAAGTTCACAATCCAGGGATTTAAATTATGCAAATTCCCAGGTTATTTAATCACTGTTACGGAATGCCCGCACTGGCAAAACCACGCGCGATGTACCTGCTTTCACAAGCTCACAAGTTACTGCAACACCACATTCAGCTGCAAGGTTAAAGTTTGAACTCGGGCTCAGATACAAGCTTTGGCAGATTTTATCCGAATTCTAGCAGTAGCCAATCAACCGTTAAACTCTGCCTCTTTGGTGCTAGTGCAGGGGAAGATGCGCTCCCACGTGTAGGCGAAGCACCCCCTCAGTGCTGCCGACACAGCTCAAAGCCCCAGTCGCAAGGGGCCCATCATGGTTTCCTCAGAAAGGGAACGTCAGCTCGCAGAGGTGCACGATCTCCTGCACTAGAGCAAGCCAAGACAAGAGGGGTGCGTGTGCGAAGCGTTTAACCACGAGCAGAAAAAGCGGTATCTTAGAGAGAGGTCTGCTCCCTTCTCAGAAGTGGGCCAACACCATCTAGAGCAACAAAGCCCAGCTGACTTCCAACTACCTGCTAATTAGCTAGCCACATAGCAAGAGAAGAGCAACAAACTTTGCCTTGGCAAGAAACCCACCCGCTCCCACATCTGAGTCATTCTGAACCATTAAAAACAAAACCGCGGAGCCAATAAGCAAAGACTGCACAGGACTTCATGTAGCCAAGGGGGGAGGAAAAAAAGCCCAGAAACCCAGCAAAGAAGGGTTACCACTTGCTACTTTTAGCCCTCCACCTGCGCTCCCCCCTTTTCACTGTCCGAGGGGCTCGCCCCATGCCCCCTCAGGCCACTGACCCACGCTGGGACTGACCTGTGTGGGTTCTCAGATGCGCCTTGAGATGAGAGCTCTTGGTGTAGGTTTTGCCGCAGCCCGCATAGTCGCAGGTGTGCGTGGCCGTCCTTTTCCTGGGCCATGACCGGCGTCCCCTCTTGGGCTTGGTCTCCTCAGGCAGGCAGCTCCCTGGCGGCATCAGCTCTAGAGGCGGACAGGGAGGAGTGAGCACCGCCGCGGCCAGC